TCTTTACTGCTATAGCTATTGGTCTCTGAGCCTGACCCCTGACTGACAGAATAATCTTGCCAAAACAGAGGCTGCTGTAGCAAATGTTGTGGCTCTTTTCAGGCAGCCAATGGCAGAGCTGCAAGAGTTTGGTGTTTTCTACCTAAAAAAATTTCAAATGGGAAAGTGTGGTAAAAGGGGAACAGGAGGAAATCTATGCTCTGCAGAGACTACTGGTGGACTTATGTTGGCTAGATGTTGCTAACGCACATATGCCTCTACCACTCAAGTCCAATTGAGACCACAGCCATTACAGAGACTTCCTTAAACAATGTCACACTTATTGCCAAACACAACCTAATTTGCTTCTGAGAAACAGAAGGTATTGTTTGCTTTTTTTGCCTCCTGACTAGGGAAACCCTGTCTTGGGCATCCCCTTATGTAGAACAAGACAGCACCACTCTGAATAATTTTGTGTCCGCTATGAATCAGGTTTTTAATGATCCTAACTAGAGATGAGCGAAGTATTCAAAAATTCGATTCGACTGATTCGGCGAATTCATGGAAAAATTTTGATTCGAGTCGAATATATTCGCTGCGAATTTAACTTATAAAAGGGTGTTTCTAGGCTTCAGAGAGCCTTTATATTAGTGCAGAACACTGTACCTTTAATTTAAATGCCCTTGGAGTCTGCTGGGGAAGAGAAATAATACTGACAGTCAGTATGACATGCAGATGAGTGCCGTCGATCTTAGAATCACCGCACACTTCACTCATTTGGGCAGTCACGGGGCCAAAACCAGAGTGTGGAGCCACAGTGTGGCGGTGGAGGCAGCAGCAATGGGAGGCCATACAGCACCCTATGACAAAAATGGAAACCATCAGCAGTGTGAGGAGACCTGAAAGTGGCACATGGCAGAGTGTGGCAATAGAGACAGCAGCAATGGGAGGCCGTACAGGGACCCATGACACACTCTGGACCTGGCAGCAGCATGAGGAGGCGGTACAGGGGCCCATGACAGATTACGGGCCTGGCAGCAGCAGCATGAGGAGTCGGTACGGGGGCCCATGGCAGATTAGGGGCCTGGCAGCAGCTATGGGAGGCCCGTAATCTGCCAGCACCCTATGACAAAAAATGGAACACACCAGCAGTGTGAGGAGACCTGAAAGTGGCACATGTTTGGGGCATGATTCATGGCGGATTTAGTCAGTTGTGTCAGGAACTGGTGGTTTGAAATCCAGACTAATCCACGCCTGATTCCTTTTCACAAACGTGAGTCTCTCCACACTTTGGGTGGATAGTCGTGTCCTCCGCGGAGTTACAATACCTCCTGCCGCACTAAACACGCGCTCCGATGCCACGCTACTGGCCGGGCATGACAGCCTTTCAAGGGCAAATTCATCTAGTTGGGGCCAAAGGTCAAGTTTCGTTGCCCAGTAGTCAAGGGGATTGTCTACCTCGGTTGGCAGGGTGCTGTCCAAGTAGGCCTAAGCCTGTTGTTTGAGGTCCTGCTCCAGGTCCCACCTGATGCTGCTGCTGCTGCTGCAGATGCGCTGGTTAGTAGTTTCCTCACTGCGCTGGTGAAGAAAGCTACTCATCATTGACTGCAGACTGAGGCAGCCGCTGCTGGTGGAGCTGCCACAGCTCCTACCACCCCACCCCTCCCCTGCTGCCATAGCAGCGGAACGCGAGCGCACAGGGCCCACAGTGTCTGAGGATGGGACGTTGGCGCAGAAAGGCAGAGACCAGCTGACTACATAGGTGGTTTTTATAGTACGTTATTTTGGCCTCCCTCTCAGCAGGTGTGAAAAAGGCCACCATTTTTGAACGGTAGCGAGGGTCCCAACAAGGTGGACAGCCAAAAGTCATCCCTCTGTCTGATGGTTATTATTCGGCTGTCGCTACGCAAGCAAGCACACCGAGCATGCTATGGGCCATTTGTGCCAAGGAATGCGAGGGACTCCCTGCCTCCATCTCCACAGCATACTGCCACGGTGCGTCTGGGTCCTCTGTCTCCTCTTCCTCCTCCTCTACCAGATGCTCCTGCTCCTCCACTCTGTCCGCTGAGTGGAAAAAAAACCACCCATTTTTACTCAATAATTCCTGAGCACCAATGTCCTCCTCTACCTCCTCCTCTTCTTCCTGTCCTGCCCCCACAGGGGTCATGTGGCGTTGAGATCTGTGCGCCACGTCTACCGCACCCTGACCAGCCATTGTTAACAGCATTTGTTCCAGGACGTGCAAAAGAGGAATGACGTCGTTCATCCCATAGTCCTGCCGACTCACGAATAGCGTGGCCTCCTCAAAGGGCTGAGCAAGCGGCAGGTGTCACGCATGAGCTGCCAATGGCTGACATCGAGTTACACAGGGAGTACCTTTATCCGCTTGTAACATCAGGAAATCGGTGATGGCCTTTTGCTGTTCGTAAAGGCGGTCTAACATGTGTAGGGTTGAATTCCACCTTGTTGCAACATCGCAGATCAGGCGATGCTGTGGAATTCCGTTCTGCCGCTGCAGCTTAAGGAGGGTGTGCTTTGAGGCCCGTAATCTGCCAGAATGGCTGAAATGCATGCAAAGTTTACGTGACATTTTAAGGATGTCTTGCAGTGGGATGGTGGATTTTAGGAACCGCAGGGGCAACCAGATTGGGGCCTGGCAGCAGCAATGGGAGGCCCGTAATCTGCCAGCACCCTATGACAAAAAATGTAACACACCAGCAGTGTGAGGAGACCTGAAAGTGGCACATGGCAGAGTGTGGCGATGGAGACAGCAGCAATGGGAGGCCGTACAGGGACCCATGAGAGACTCTGGACCTGGCAGCAGCATGAGGAGGCGGTATATAGGGGGCCCATGGCAGATTAGGGGCCCTGGCAGCAGCTATGGGAGGCCCGTAATCTGCCAGCACCCTATGACAAAAAATGGAACACACCAGCAGTGTGAGGAGACCTGAAAGTGGCACATGGCATGAGTGTGGCGATGGAGACAGCAGCAATGGGAGGCCGTGGGACCCATGAGACTGGACCTGGCAGCAGCATGAGGAGGCGGTACAGGGGCCCATGGCAGATTAGGGGCCTGGCAGCAGCTATGGGAGGCCCGTAATCTGCCAGCACCCTATGTCAAAAAATTGAACACACCAGCAGTGTGTGAGGAGACCTGAAAGTGGCACATGGCAGAGAGTGTGGCGATGGAGACAGCAGCAATGGGACTTCCGTACAGGGACCCATGAGAGACTCTGGACTTGGCAGCAGCATGAGGAGGCGGTATAGGGGCCCATGGCAGATTAGGGGCCTGGCAGCAGCTATGGGAGGCCCGTAATCTGCCAGCACCCTATGTCAAAAAATTGAACACACCAGCAGTGTGAGGAGACCTGAAAGTGGCACATGGCATGAGACACTGTGGCGATGGAGACAGCAGCAGCATGGGAGGCCGTACAGGGGCCCATGGCAGATTGGGGGCCTGGCAGCAGCAGCATGGGAGGCGGTAATCTGCCAGCACCCTATGGCAAAAAATTAGGGGCCTGGCAGCAGCTATGTGAGGAGGCCCGAAATCTGCCACATGCACCCTATGGCAAAAAAATGGAACACAGCAGCAGTGGGAGGAGGAGACCTGAAAGTGGCACATGGCAGAGTGTGTGGGACGATGGAGACAGCAGAATGGGAGACTCCGGACAGGGCACATGAGCACTCTGGACCTGGCAGCAGGGAGGCGGTATAGGGGGCCCATGGCAGATTAGGGGCCTGGCAGCAGCTATGGGAGGGCGTAATCTGCCAGCACCCTATGTCAAAAAATTGAACACACCAGCAGTGTGTGTGGAGACCTGAAAGTGGCACATGGCATGAGACACTGTGGACCTGGCAGCAGCATGAGGAGGCGGTACAGGGGCCCATGGCAGGCAGCAGCATGAGGAGGCCCGGCGGTATAGGGGCCCATGGGGGGGCCTGGCAGCAGCAGCTATGGGAGGCCCGTAATCTGCCAGCACCCTATGTCAAAAAATGGAACACACCAGCAGTGTGAGGAGACCTGAAAGTGGCACATGGCAGAGTGTGGCGATGGAGACAGCAGCAATGGGAGGCCGTACAGGACCCATGAGAGACTCTGGACCTGGCAGCAGCATGAGGAGGCGGTATAGGGGCCCATGGCAGATTAGGGGCCTGGCAGCAGCTATGGGAGGCCCGTAATCTGCCAGCACCCTATGTCAAAAAAAAATGAACACACCAGCAGTGTGAGGAGACCTGAAAGTGGCACATGGCATGAGACACTGTGGACCTGGGACAGCAGCACCTGGCAGCAGCATGAGGAGGCGGTACACAGGGGCCCATGGCAGATTAGGGGCCTGGCAGCAGCTATGGGAGGCCCGTAATCTGCCAGCACCCTATGTCAAAAAATTGAACACACCAGCAGTGTGTGAGGAGACCTGAAAGTGGCACATGGCAGAGTGTGGCGATGGAGACAGCAGCAATGGGAGGCCGTACAGGGACCCATGAGAGACTCTGGACTTGGCAGCAGCATGAGAGGCGGTATAGGGGCCCCCATGGCAGATTAGGGGCCTGGCAGCAGCTATGGGAGGCCCGTAATCTGCCAGCACCCTATGTCAAAAAATTGAACACACCAGCAGTGTGTGAGGAGACCTGAAAGTGGCACATGGCAGAGTGTGGCGATGGAGACAGCAGCAATGGGAGGCCGTACAGGGACCCATGAGAGACTCTGGACCTGGCAGCAGCATGAGGAGGCGGTATAGGGGCCCATGGCAGATTAGGGGCCTGGCAGCAGCTATGGGAGGCCCGTAATCTGCCAGCCAGCACCTATGTCAAAAAATTGAACACACCAGCAGTGTGTGAGGAGACCTGAAAGTGGCACATGGCAGAGTGTGGCGATGGAGACAGCAGCAATGGGAGGCCGTACAGGGACCCATGAGAGACTCTGGACTTGCAGCAGCATGAGGAGGCGGTATAGGGGCCCATGGCAGATTAGGGGCCTGGCAGCAGCTATGGGAGGCCCGTAATCTGCCAGCACCCTATGTCAAAAAATTGAACACACCAGCAGTGTGAGGAGACCTGAAAGTGGCACATGGCAGAGTGTGGCGATGGAGACAGCAGCAATGGGAGGCCGTGGACCCATGAGAGACTGGACCTGGCAGCAGCATGAGGAGGCGGCGGTACAGGGGCCCATGGCAGATTAGGGGCCTGGCAGCAGCTATGGGAGGCCCGTAATCTGCCAGCACCCTATGTCAAAAAATGGAACACACAGCAGCAGTGTGTGAGGAGACCTGAAAGTGGCACATGGCAGAGTGTGGCGATGGAGACAGCAGCAATGGGAGGCCGTACAGGGACCCATGAGAGACTCTGGACCTTGCAGCAGCATGAGGAGGCGGTATAGGGGCCCATGGCAGATTAGGGGCCTGGCAGCAGCTATGGGAGGCCCGTAATCTGCCAGCACCCTATGTCAAAAAATTGAACACACCAGCAGTGTGAGAGAGACCTGAAAGTGGCACATGGCAGAGTGTGGCGATGGAGACAGCAGCAGCAGGGAGGCCGTACAGGGACCCATGAGAGACTCTGGACCCATGAGGCAGACTTAGGGGCCCATGGCAGATTAGGGGCCTGGCAGCAGCATGATGGAGGCGGTATAATCTGCCATGGCAGAAAAAATTGCCTGGCAGCAGCTATGGGGAGACCTGAAATCTGCCAGCACCATGTGTGGCGAAAGAACACACCAGCAGTGTGGAGGAGACCTGAAAGTGGCACATGGCAGAGAGACACTGTGGACCTGGCAGCATGATGGGAGGCGGTACAGGGGCCCATGGCAGATTAGGGGCCTGGCAGCAGCTATGGGAGGCCCGTAATCTGCCAGCACCCTATGTCAAAAAATTGAACACACCAGCAGTGTGTGAGGAGACCTGAAAGTGGCACATGGCAGAGTGTGGCGATGGAGACAGCAGCAATGGGAGGCCGTACAGGGACCCATGAGAGACTCTGGACTTGGCAGCAGCATGAGGAGGCGGTATAGGGGCCCATGGCAGATTAGGGGCCTGGCAGCAGCTATGGGAGGCCCGTAATCTGCCAGCACCCTATGTCAAAAAATGGAACACACACAGCAGTGTGAGAGACCCTGAAAGTGGCACAGAGTGGCATGAGACAGCACCGTGGGACCCATGAGAGACTGGACCTGGCAGCAGCATGAGGAGGCGGTACAGGGGCCCATGGCAGATTAGGGGCCTGGCAGCAGCTATGGGAGGCCCGTAATCTGCCAGCACCCTATGTCAAAAAAAATTGAACACACACACCAGCAGTGTGAGGAGACCTGAAAGTGGCACATGGCAGAGTGTGGCGATGGAGACAGCAGCAATGGGAGGGCCGTACAGGGACCCATGAGAGACTCTGGACCTGGCAGCAGCATGAGGAGGCGGTATAGGGGCCCATGGCAGCAGATTAGGGGCCTGGCAGCAGCTATGGGAGGCCCGTAATCTGCCAGCACCCTATGTCAAAAAATTGAACACACCAGCAGTGTGTGAGGAGACCTGAAAGTGGCACATGGCATGAGTGTGGCGATGGAGACAGCAGCAATGGGAGGCCGTACAGGGACCCATGAGAGACTGGGACCTGGCAGCAGCATGAGGAGGCGGTACAGGGGCCCATGGCAGATTAGGGGCCTGGCAGCAGCTATGGGAGGCCCGTAATCTGCCAGCACCCTATGTCAAAAAATGGAACACACCAGCAGTGTGAGGAGACCTGAAAGTGGCACATGGCAGAGTGTGGCGATGGAGACAGCAGCAATGGGAGGCCGTACAGGGACCCATGAGAGACTCTGGACCTGGCAGCAGCATGAGGAGGCGGTATAGGGGCCCATGGCAGATTAGGGGCCTGGCAGCAGCTATGGGAGGCCCGTAATCTGCCAGCACCCTATGTCAAAAAAATTGAACACACCAGCAGTGTGAGGAGGACCCTGAAAGTGGCACATGGCAGAGTGTGGCATGGAGACACAGCAATGGGAGGCCGTACAGGGACCCATGAGAGACTCTGGACCTGGCAGCAGCATGAGGAGGCGGTATACAGGGGCCCATGGCAGATTAGGGGCCTGGCAGCAGCTATGGGAGGCCCGTAATCTGCCAGCACCCTATGTCAAAAAATTGAACACACCAGCAGTGTGAGGAGACCTGAAAGTGGCACATGGCAGAGTGTGGCGATGGAGACAGCAGCAATGGGAGGCCGTACAGGGACCCATGAGAGACTCTGGACCTGGCAGCAGCATGCATGAGGAGGCGGTATAGGGGCCCATGGCAGATTAGGGGCCTGGCAGCAGCTATGGGAGGCCCGTAATCTGCCAGCACCCTATGTCAAAAAATGGAACACACCAGCAGTGTGAGGAGAGACCTGAAAGTGGCACATGGCAGAGTGTGGCGATGGAGACAGCAGCAATGGGAGGCCGTACAGGGACCCATGAGAGACTGGAGGACCTGGCAGCAGCATGAGGAGGCGGTATAGGGGCCCATGGCAGATTAGGGGCCTGGCAGCAGCTATGGGAGGCCCGTAATCTGCCAGCACCCCTATGTCAAAAAATTGAACACACAGCAGTGTGTGGAGACCTGAAAGTGGCACATGGCAGAGTGTGGCGATGGAGACAGCAGCAATGGGAGGAGACCTGACAGGGACCCATGAGATGACTGTGGACCTGGCAGCAGCATGAGGAGGCGGTATAGGGGGGCCCATGGCAGATTAGGGGCCTGGCAGCAGCTATGGGAGGCCCGTAATCTGCCAGCACCCTATGTCAAAAAATTGAACACACCAGCAGTGTGTGAGGAGACCTGAAAGTGGCACATGGCAGTGTGGCGATGGAGACAGCAGCAATGGGAGGCCGTACAGGGACCCATGAGAGACTCTGGACCTGGCAGCAGCATGAGGAGGCGGTATAGGGGCCCATGGCAGATTAGGGGCCTGGCAGCAGCTATGGGAGGCCCGTAATCTGCCAGCACCCTATGTCAAAAAATTGAACACACCAGCAGTGTGTGAGGAGACCTGAAAGTGGCACATGGCAGAGTGTGGCGATGGAGACAGCAGCAATGGGAGGCCCGTACAGGGACCCATGAGAGACAGACTCTGGACCTGGCAGCAGCATGAGGAGGCGGTATAGGGGCCCATGGCAGATTAGGGGCCTGGCAGCAGCTATGGGAGGCCCGTAATCTGCCAGCACCCTATGTCAAAAAATTGAACACACCAGCAGTGTGTGAGGAGACCTGAAAGTGGCACATGGCAGAGTGTGGCGATGGAGACAGCAGCAATGGGAGGCCGTACAGGGACCCATGAGAGACTCTGGACCTGGCAGCAGCATGAGGAGGCGGTATAGGGGCCCATGGCAGATTAGGGGCCTGGCAGCAGCTATGGGAGGCCCGTAATCTGCCAGCACCCTATGTCAAAAAATTGAACACACCAGCAGTGTGAGGAGACCTGAAAGTGGCACATGGCAGAGTGAGACACTGTGAGACAGCAGCAGCATGAGGAGGCGTACAGGGGCCCATGGCAGATTAGGGGCCTGGCAGCAGCTAGCAGCTATGGGAGGCCCGTAATCTGCCAGCACCCTATGTCAAAAAAATTGAACACACCAGCAGTGTGTGAGGAGACCTGAAAAGTGGCACATGGCAGAGTGTGGCGATGGAGACAGCAGCAATGGGAGGCCGTACAGGGACCCATGAGAGACTCTGGACCTGGCAGCAGCATGAGGAGGCGGTATAGGGGCCCATGGCAGATTAGGGGCCTGGCAGCAGCTATGGGAGGCCCGTAATCTGCCAGCACCCTATGTCAAAAAATTGAACACACCAGCAGTGTGAGGAGACCTGAAAGTGGCACATGGCATGAGACACAGTGGACCTGGCAGCAGCATGAGGAGGCAGCATGTACAGGGGCCCATGGCAGATTAGGGGCCTGGCAGCAGCTATGGGAGGCCCGTAATCTGCCAGCACCTATGTCAAAAAATTGAACACACCAGCAGTGTGTGAGGAGACCTGAAAGTGGCACATGGCAGAGTGTGGCGATGGAGACAGCAGCAATGGGAGGCCGTACAGGGACCCCATGAGAGACTCTGGACCTGGCAGCAGCATGAGGAGGCGGTATAGGGGCCCATGGCAGATTAGGGGCCTGGCAGCAGCTATGGGAGGCCCGTAATCTGCCAGCACCCTATGTCAAAAAATTGAACACACCAGCAGTGTGAGGAGACCTGAAAGTGGCACATGGCAGAGTGTGATGGAGACAGCAGCAATGGGAGGCCGTACAGGGACCCATGAGAGACTCTGGACCTGGCAGCAGCATGAGGAGGCGGTACAGGGGCCCATGGCAGATTAGGGGCCTGGCAGCAGCTATGGGAGGCCCGTAATCTGCCAGCACCCTATGTCAAAAAATTGAACACACCAGCAGTGTGTGAGGAGACCTGAAAGTGGCACATGGCAGAGTGTGGCGATGGAGACAGCAGCAATGGGAGGCCGTACAGACCCATGAGAGACTCTGGACCTGGCAGCAGCATGAGGAGGCGGTATAGGGGCCCATGGCAGATTAGGGGCCTGGCAGCAGCTATGGGAGGCCCGTAATCTGCCAGCACCCTATGACAAAAAATTGAACACACCAGCAGTGTGTGTGAGGAGACCTGAAAGTGGCACATGGCAGAGTGTGGCATGGAGACAGCAGCAATGGAGGCCGTACAGGGACCCATGAGAGCTCTGGACCTGGCAGCAGCATGAGGAGGCGGTACAGGGGCCCATGGCAGATTAGGGGCCTGGCAGCAGCTATGGGAGGCCCGTAATCTGCCAGCACCCTATGTCAAAAAATTGAACACACCAGCAGTGTGTGAGGAGACCTGAAAGTGGCACATGGCAGAGTGTGGCGATGGAGACAGCAGCAATGGGAGGCGTACAGGGACCCATGAGAGACTCTGGACTTGGCAGCAGCATGAGGAGGCGGTATAGGGGGGCCCATGGCAGATTAGGGGCCTGGCAGCAGCTATGGGAGGCCCGTAATCTGCCAGCACCCTATGTCAAAAAATTGAACACACCAGCAGTGTGAGGAGACCTGAAAGTGGCACATGGCAGAGTGTGGCATGGAGACACAGCAATGGACCCGTACAGGGACCCATGAGAGACTCTGGACCTGGCAGCAGCATGAGGAGGCGGTATAGGGGCCCATGGCAGATTAGGGGCCTGGCAGCAGCTATGGGAGGCCCGTAATCTGCCAGCACCCTATGTCAAAAAATTGAACACACCAGCAGTGTGTGAGGAGACCTGAAAGTGGCACATGGCAGAGTGTGGCGATGGAGACAGCAGCAATGGGAGGCCGTACAGGGACCCATGAGAGACTCTGGACCTGGCAGCAGCATGAGGAGGCGGTATAGGGGCCCATGGCAGATTAGGGGCCTGGCAGCAGCTATGGGAGGCCCGTAATCTGCCAGCACCCTATGACAAAAATTGAACACACCAGCAGTGTGTGAGGAGACCTGAAAGTGGCACATGGCAGAGTGTGGCGATGGAGACAGCAGCAGCAATGGGAGGCCGTACAGGGACCCATGAGAGACTCTGGACTTGGCAGCAGCATGAGGAGGCGTATAGGGGCGGTATATGGGGGCCCATGGCAGATTAGGGGCCTGGCAGCAGCTATGGGGGCCCGTAATCTGCCAGCACCCTATGTCAAAAAATTGAACACACCAGCAGTGTGAGGAGACCTGAAAGTGGCACATGGCAGAGTGTGGCGATGGAGACAGCAGCAATGGGAGGCCGTACAGGGACCCATGAGAGACTCTGGACTTGGCAGCAGCATGAGGAGGCGGTATAGGGCCCATGGCAGATTAGGGGCTGGCAGCAGCTATGGGAGGCCCGTAATCTGCCAGCACCCTATGTCAAAAAATTGAACACACCAGCAGTGTGAGAGACCTGAAAGTGGCACATGGCAGAGTGTGGCGATGGAGACAGCAGCAGCAATGGGAGGCCGTACAGGGACCCATGAGAGACTCTGGACCTGGCAGCAGCATGAGAGGAGGGCGGTACAGGGGCCCATGGCAGATTAGGGGCCTGGCAGCAGCTATGGGAGGCCCGTAATCTGCCAGCACCCTATGTCAAAAAAATGGAACACACCAGCAGTGTGAGAGAGACCTGAAAGTGGCACATGGCAGAGTGTGGCGATGGAGACAGCAGCAATGGGAGGCCGTACAGGGACCCATGAGAGACTCTGGACCTGGCAGCAGCATGAGGAGGCGGTATAGGGGCCCATGGCAGATTAGGGGCCTGGCAGCAGCTATGGGAGGCCCGTAATCTGCCAGCACCCTATGACAAAAAATGAACACACCAGCAGTGTGTGAGGAGACCTGAAAGTGGCACATGGCAGAGTGTGGCGATGGAGACAGCAGCAATGGGAGGCCGTACAGGGACCCATGAGAGACTCTGGACTTGGCAGGCAGCAGCATGAGGAGGCGGTATAGGGGCCCATGGCAGATTAGGGGCCTGGCAGCAGCTATGGGAGGCCCGTAATGCCAGCACCCTATGACAAAAAATGGAACACACCAGCAGTGTGAGGAGACCTGAAAGTGGCACATGGCAGGGGCATGATTCATGGCGGATTTAGTCAGTTGTGTCAGGAACTGGTGGTTTGAAATCCAGACTAATCCACGCCTGATTCATTTTCACAAACGTGAGTCTCTCCACACTTTGGGTGGACAGTCGTGTCCTCCGCGGAGTTACAATACCTCCTGCCGCACTAAACACGCGCTCCGATGCCACGCTACTGGCCGGGCATGACAGCCTTTCAAGGGCAAATTCAGCTAGTTGGGGCCAAAGGTCAAGTTTCGTTGCCCAG